TTTTTATGTTGACAATATAAGAGCCTTCAGAAAGTCTCCTGACCTGTTCGTATATCAGGCTCAGAGGTCTAGAAGTTGTTATGTGTCAGCACTATGAGTACTTCACATAATCTCACTGCCTGAGATTTTGAGACTGAAAAGATGGAACCACTTCCAAAACACTGGAGCTCACTCTTGCTTCAATTATCCCCCTCTCTGTGATCTGCTGTTTGGTTCCCTGGACTACATCCAGGATATACCCTTGCTAAAGCTTTCCTTTTTTGATGTTGTTCAGAGAATGGTCCTTGAATTTCTACTCAGATGGAGACTTTTAGTCAGCCGAGCATTGCTTGGTAGGCCGTACTGGTCAAAATCACTCATTATATTAACAGATATATAGGAATTTTTATGATGTCTTGAACATAAAGATACAACATTAACAAAATTAAAAGATGTGTCTTTTTTCCTCTTCTTTGCCTTGTGTGAATAGTCTGGAAAAATCTCTGCTGTCATTGTCCCAAGCCTGGTTTCACTTCCCTCAGAAATTTTTGTACATTAAGGCACAAGACGTGATGTAGCTAGACCTGGAAGCGGGCTGCGAAAGGATTACATTTCATTTGATCAAAAACTGGGTACAGTATATCTGACCTGAATTATATGCTGAGCTGAAGAGGAAAAAAAAAAGCAAATTCTCTCCCAGTCAAACAATAAAAGAAGTATTTATTCTGGTAATTACTGAATTGTGAGATCAGGACTTAATTATTCAGACAAGAAAAACAAATCCAATAGCTTCAGCACTCAAAGTTTGTTCTTAAATTATATAAAAGCTTGAATGTTGCCATGGAGTTACTTCAAAGATGATATAAAGGTAATTAAAGTCTTTGCTAATTCAGATAACTTGATGAGTAGCCCTTGAGGTTTTGCACCCCTTTCCTCCTGTTGCAGCTATGAAACACGAAGGTCCTTTTTTAATGTTTGCATTTGTCCAAATTGTGCAGTTTTAATTTCAGATGAAGCTTAGTATTCCGAGATTGGCTTTAGGAGCTTTCAGCAGCATAACAAAAAACTGTATGCAATTGCAATGCCATAAATAGATCTCAGTGGAAAATGACAGTTGAAGTCTCTGTAGATAAATCTCTTTAAGTGTACAAACTTGAGAAACCATGCTAAAGAATTCTTGGTTTGAATTTTCTGAAGCTCCATGGTCTTTCATTAAAAAAAAACAACAAAAAAACACTAAAACCAAACAAAACCAGATTTTTTCAAAGGAGTAGCTGAATAAAGCTCTGATTCCTTGCAAGACAGGACAAGAGGAAACAAACTTGAACATAAGAAGTTCCATCTAAACATAAGGAGGAGCTCTTTACTTTGAAGGTGGCAGAGCACTGGAACAGGCTGCCTGGAGAGGTCGTGGAGTCTCCATCTCTGGAGACATTCAAAACCTGCCTGGATGCATTCCTATGCAACCTACTGTAGGGGGTTGGCAGAGTGGTTGGACTAGATGGTCTGCAGAGGTCCCTTCCAACCCCATATCTTTCTGATTCTGTGAAAGACAAAATACAAATATTATTATATGGGTTTTTTTCCTGGTAAAGCAAACTTCTGGAGTCCTAGTGTTGAGTGTGATGTTGTAGTTTATATTGGACAGATGCAATGGAACTGTAAAAATGAAACATTTTTCATCCAAATTAATCTTGTTGCACCATTCTTATTTTAATACCGTATTGCTAATGATATTTGTGATTCTATCATGTCAGTGGGCTACTGCTCTTGGAATTATGGTATATATCATGTGTCCTTGAATAAGTACATAAAATGCAGGAGTCATTACTTACTGCAGTATCTGTTTCTGTCATCATAAGACATATTAAAGTCATACTGTAAAGCTTATGGTACTCAGCACACTAAAGGAGAAGGGTCTCTAATATTCTTAAGATTTTTAAATACGTCATTAATGAAATTAGGTAGTTTATAGCAGACTTGGCACTGAAATGTCAAGGGCGAAACTTACCAGCTATTTTGGCAAGTTTACTTCTGCTTTAGATGGTATTTAAAAGACATTTGTATGAGTTTTAATTAGGTATGATATTAAAAAGTATTTAAATCTCCTTTTCTGCAATTGAAGGAAAAGAGATCATTTAGATTGTAAAAGGGTATATTTCTCAAAGGAATTATTCTGGGCTGTGTAGCTATCTGCAAAGCAACTGGAATTACTACTTCTAGGATGTCAAAAGATTGATACACTTGACTAATTAGGAAGCCAGTTGGGACTGGTGACAGCACTCTGCAGCAGCTTGTGAAAGCCGATTTAAAGGTCCCATAGGAAGTATTAATATTGAACAATATTTGCGACTCTTATACTATCACTGTAGCAATGTTGTATGCAGTTCTCCCAGGGCAATTTAAAAGATTTCTAAACTACTGCATGGTACATTCTCGTTTCTTAAACTTCCTGTCATAGGACCTTGGACAATATTACAGGTGGCATGGATACTACTGGTTAGCTGTGTAGCTTCACAGAAGGTGTCGCCGTCAACTGTTGGTGTAGGCATCAAAACACAGAATTTGGAGCCTAACCGTGTAGAAGTTTGAAAAACAGGCGTTCTGCATGTTTGGTGCACATAGATTGTAACTATGAATGCTTTTATTTGCAGTGGTTAACTTTTCAATACATCCGAGCATACAGGAAAACTACTAGAGGAGTTTATTAGTTCAAGTTTCTATATTCTCTATTCATTCTTCTGTTAACTGTTTTGCATACCAATGGAAGCACTAATCTATAATCCAGTTTGTGACTACAGTATATTTCAGATAAGTATGAAAAACAGATAGTACCCATAAATGTGTTCCAGCTATGCTACAAAAAGCTGTGGTTTTGCAGTATTCCTATTCCATTATTTAAAATCTCTTTTTTTATTTATTTGGTGGTCTTTTTATAGTAAAGCAGATTATGCATCAGGATTTTTTTCTGCTAAAAATTATTAAATTTTTGAAATAACTATGAAAACTATAATAGTCTTGGATAGGCTTAAAAGGAAAGAAATGACATGCTGAAATAGGATTGAAATTTTCCTTCTGTTATTTCTACTGCCTAAAACAAAGCTTATGAACTCTTTTCCATAAACATTTATGGTATCATTTTGGGTACTGTGATATTCAATCTTTTTTGCATTACTGTTACTCAAACTGCTTACAACATTTTCATGTTACAATGCTTATAGCAACATTGATGTACCCTAATGTAACTAATGGCTTGGCCTCAAAATTTCTTTAAGAATCTTTTGTTTGAAACTATTCACTGAGTGTTTTTATCCCAGACGTGAGTGTTTTAGAGAATTGCATGACATTAGATGGAGAAAAGAAAGTTAAAAAATACAACCAAAACCAATCAAACAGACAAAAAAGCCCAACAAAACCCACCACCATAAAATTTTAAAAAAATAAAATAAACAGGAAGCTGAATATATAAGCTAAGTAATTTTTTGTTAGGTGCGTTCCAGGTCATATTAATCCCTTTGATAGTACATTACTCATAAGAAAGCAAATTTCAGCGTAATAAAATATGTTATACCCAGTGCAAAGCAAGAGAAAAATCTGTATTTCAGTCTTCATATTTATTCTATATCTGCCATGTATTGTACAGAAAACAAATGTACTTAAATATTATGGAAATTTATCAAATATCTCCTAATTATCCACTATTTCTTTAGGTGTATACCTCTTTTGTGTAAAGTTGTTAAGTTAACTATTTTGGTAATACAGACAGTATTACTGTCAGTATAACAGAGAGTAATATAGAGAACTAAGTGTTAACACTTCCCTGGGTAAAAAAACTGACTAGATGCCAGGCCCAAAGAGTGGTGGTGAATGGGTTAAATCCAGGTGGCGGCTGGTCACAAGTGGTGTTCCCCAGGCTCAGTATTGGGGCCAGTTCTGTTTGATATCTTTATCAATGATCTGGACAAGGGGATCGAGTGCACACTCAATAAAGTTGCAGATGACACCAAGTTGGGCGGGAGTGTTGATCTGCTTGAGGGTAGGAAGGCTCTGCAGAGGGATCTGGAGTGCTTGGATCAGTGGGCCGAGGCCAATGGGATGAGGTTCAACAAGGCCAAGTGCCGGCTCCTGCTCTTGGGTCACAACCACCCCAACAGCTAGATTAGATCCTGATTTAAATATTCATTTTCACAATAACTGCAGAATTGTGGCTGACTGTATCCAAGGTGTGTGTTGACTTAGGGAGTTTTGCCCAGTGAAGCATAATGAGATTTCTGATGTGTAACTCTTTATTTCTCTGTGGTGATTTTTCATCATATGGTAAATCCCTGGAGTTGTGTTCTTTGTCCGTACACACAAGGGGTTAACAAGGTTCAAAAATCTAACATTTTCTGATGTGTTTATTTGAGGAAATAAAAATAGGGCATTTAATGCTTGTATTTAATTATAATGTCATAGTAACATTCATAATTCTTTCAGGGGGTATTATGCATACACGTGTAATACGATGAGTAGAATTTTTCTGAACGACATCAATTATTTGATATTGGCCAGAGGTTAAATATGAAGAGAAAATGGCTTTTGATTAAAGCTACCTATGGATATCACTCTGTATCCTATCCAGTGCAGTATCGTTCACTCAGCTGCCTGCTGAGAAACAATTTTAACTTTTTATAACAATAACTGAAATGATCTCTTATCTAATATAGCAAATCATTTAAGGGACAGCTCTTGAAAGATGACATGAAACTGATTATTTGCAGTTGCAAAAGGGTACTGAAATGAAAATATGAGTGAAATGACATTTCACTTAAAACTGTGCTTGATTCTCAGTATAGAGAAAGAGGGATGTGAAATAAATGGAAGAAAAGTTCAATGTATAGAAGACCAATGAATGTTAAAACCCCAGTCTAAATCTGAAATAAATAGTTTTAATAATACCTTTAATAACTTTTATTGTTATTATTATTTATGTTTTGATATTGCTATGGTAACCTAGAGGGTTCCTTCTCTCTCCTCTACAGAAGGTGAGGAGACTGGAGTGATGGATAGCCTGTTGGAGGCCTTGCAGTCAGGTGCAGCTTTTCGAGACCGAAGGAAAAGAACACCAAGACCTAAAGGTGAGTATTCTATTTTATGGGGTTTTTTTCCAGAGAAAGTTAAAAGCCTTATGGGCTCTAGAACTTAAATGCTATTGGGTTTAATTCTTTCTTGCAACGGCAGCTTTCAGGGATGTTTTGCTGATGTCAGTAGCACTTGGGAGATTAATTTGCTGAATTTAGCATAGCCTGATTACTATGACAAGACGCTTCGATAGAGCCTCATGTACTTTAACTTTTTAGGGTTTATAGTTGAATGGGGGAAGTAAAAATCATCTTGCCCCATAAGTGAAATCGAATTATTTCACTGGTATATAACTGTCAGTTTACTCTTAGAAATATCTAACTTGTAAATGATTCTGCTTAATAATGTTGTTACGATGCTACAGTAACTTTCAAAGGTGTGTTTCATTTCCATTGTTTCCTTGCTTTTGCAGACGTACCACAAAATCTCAGTCCAACCACGCAGCGGCCTGTGCTGAAAGCTTGTAACCATGGTAATGAACCATATTCATGAATTGCATGCTCTTCTTAGCTTATGTACTTGATCTGTCCTTTCAAAAGACTGCTGTGATTTTTTTCAGTTTTCTACATTAGTGGAATACTGAAACTGTATTAGAACCTGCTTTTTAAGAATCACCTGAAAATTGCATTCTGAAACTATACTTACAGATTACTTTACAAGGCACTTCTGTCTTTTATGGGCTTTTTTATTTATTTAAAATTTGGTTATGCTTTTAAATGTTGTACTTTTACAGTCCTTAAGAACAATTGTCAAGGATATTTTCATGGATTATGAAACTATGCTAGAAAGCAGAGATTGTGGAACATTTTTAAATGTTACTATGTGTTTGCAATACCAAATCTGAAAACTTTTGGGATTCGTTCTATTTATCTTTGTTTTCTTGATGCTATAGCCGGAATGGTTTAAGCGATGATTTACCAGTATAAATCAAAAGTAATATTGTATCAGCCAAGTGATATTAAATGAATCAGTTACTTAGTGGCAAAATATTTCTCCAAATGTTAGGCATGAGTCTTATGCATATGTTTATTCATAAACTCCTGAACTATGTAACCATAATCAGCAGGACTTGCTCATATGTGAAAAGTTACAAAGAGGGAGTCGGTGCTTTCTAGCTTTGTTTGTTAGACAATCTACAAAATTTTATGATATTAGCTGTGTCTTAATTAAGCTTGAGACTTCCAGAGTGGCTGTTTCAGTGGCTTGTAACTAGTGGTCTCAGGAAAATCATATATATGTAGTACCGCCAGTAAAGAAACATTTTAATTGAAATTTAAGGAAAAAAAAAAATCTTTCTTTGTTTTGTAATCAGAATGCATTACTCTTTGGGATTTAAATGCACCATGGAGTTTATAAAGCAGATGCCATCAAATTGATGATATTTATTATACCTTTCGTTTAAGTGTTTATTTCTTCAGTGTCTATAGCACACAAAAAAAAGAATATGCAGAATTTGGTAATAATAAATACAAATTTAAAGAAAATATAGCTGGAAGGACAGTTTAAAGATAATTAATTCACTTACAGGAGTTGGCTGAGAGAAGAATCAAGTATATTTGATAGCTGCTTGTCTAGCACATACCACATTGATATATGAATAATGACTACAAAACATGCATGAATTTATCCTAGAAACATTTCCATTTATAAGAACAATTGTTGAATATGTCGAAATGTTGAATATTGCTTCTTTTCAACCTATTCTAGCTAGCTAGCCAGCTGTCCATGGACAGACAGTGTAGCTTCTAGTTTTCAAACTAACTGCATTTGGACAAACATTAGGGCCATGTTTTATGTTTCAGGTTAAAAACAAAACACCAAAAGTGGACAAACAAAAAAACCCAAGATTTTAATTCTGCAAAATCTTGGTCTAACCTGGGGACTGATGGATATAGTCGGGTACTGAAGCTTGAAATATAGACTTTTCATTTGGAGAGAAGAGTAAAAGTAAACTCTTGGATTTTCTGTTGTTTTTACCAAAGACAGTTTTTCCATAGAACGTATTGAGACAATCTGATTCTAAGACATTTTAACAGAGCACTAAACTTGGTGTAGATTATGATGTGTTCAGTTATCAAAGCCTTACTGGCTTTTTCATAAAAATATATGGTCATTGGTTGCTCCGAGTTCATCTCTGAGGTGAACTTTTGGGTTTTTTGCTATTTAAAGTCTATGTAGGTAAGTTATGAATTTGCTTTTAATAATTTATTTTGGTTTGGAGAAATCAGAAAATATCTAAATTGCATGCTATCTAGAATGAATACTAGGCCATGAGTATCAAAGTTTATTTTTAGATAATAACCTCACTGAACTTAATGATGTCACCAGTCAAAACAAGAATTATATTGATAAAGTTTATTTAATTTTTCTGTTTCTGAATTCAACAATGTATAAGGTCAGGGGGTTTTAAGTATTATCATCTATATAATTTTTTCTTGCACTTTAATATGGATACATATGTAATAACCTATTCTTAATATATATGCGTGTATAATAAGTGATGAATAGTGTATATAGGAGTTTATTTACATATACGACGTATAAGCAAGAAGTCGGTGATATGACAGAAATGCTGGCTTTGTCTTTCATTGATTTGCTGTTTTTCCCAACCTAAAATTTCAAATGGATGCTAAATTTTGTATGGCAAAAAAGCCACTGCCTTACTCTAAGATTAAAGTATGTGGAGACTGATAGAAGTCCTCAAGCAGCAATTCGAGTACTTTGGTTGTTTGCTACTTCACTGGCTCTGGCTTTTGGGTTAACTGCTTTGGTTACTGCTGCTTCTAATGAGACTGACAGATTCACTTACAGTAGGTATACTTTATTAATACACACTGCAGGTTCCTACCTAGGATGAACTCCTTTGACTCATCACACAGTCAAAAAAAATTACAAGCCGTGACTTAAAAATGTCTGTCCTCTGAATTGTTCAGACTGTAGCAATCTCTGTTGGGCCGATGCCATCAAGTTCTAGCCAATCTCTTCTGTTTTCCAAACAAAACAAAACCAAGCCAAGCAAAAGAATAAAATCTGGTTTAGTCTTTATGATTAAAGATATTTCTCTAAAAAAGTGGAATATAAATCAGACCCAAGCATGGGTGGGAACTAAAGAGTAGTGCCTCTATATCTGACAAAGAATGGCAAGGGAGAGAAATATAGCTTGAATGCACAGCTTTTCCATGGCTGTAATATAAATAGAAGGAAAGAGGTCTCTCTAACCATTGCCATTGGCATCCTCAATACAATACTGCTCAAGGTACCAAGCTATCATTTGCTCGTGAGGCTGAGCCAAGCACTAAAACAAGGTAACACAGAGGAGCAAGCCAATGCGACTTAGCTCTAGAACTGAGAACTGAAATTGTTTCCTTTAACTAAATAGGTTGCTTAAGCAATAAAAGGAAGAATAGTAAATTTAGTGGAATGCTAGCCATTCGTTGGCCATTTTTTTTCTTCAGGATCTGTTGAGCTCCCCAGAACACTCTGGTAGTGTTCAACTACTAAAAAGTAGTACTGGTTCTCATGCTGCATCCCAGGGTAGCCTCTTGGGTGTGTTATTTGATTTTTCAGTCCTACTGCGCCCTTTCTTTATTGAACAGATTGCCTCTTTTTAACATGGTATGTGGTTTTTGTCTAGTTTAAATCTACTCTATTTCTGTGATCAGAATTGCCAATCGTATTCTGTCTGCTTGTGACAAGGCCCATCAAGTCAGGTAATTTCTTGCTGAGGAAAAGCTCTGCTGCATAACTAATAGAAATAATATACATTTAGAATTGCTAGATCTTGGAAATATTGTATCAATATAAATCATTTTCACTAGATCTTTTTTGACATAGACACGATTGGTATAGTTATTTCCTTTGTTTCCGCTCATAGTGCTTTGCATTTTTAAATTCACAACTGCATTACATATATGTTCAAAACTACTTCTTAAGGTTACAGCTTGCTTTGACTGCAAAGAGCCATAAACTGCAGTAAATATTGTGGTATATGCTTTTGGTGTCGTAGGGAGCACCGTATGACACAAGTGGCACATTAGTACAGGTTTAGTGTTGTACTTTGGTAAGGTTTTGATTCAGTAGCATCTAGCAGGGGAGCTTTTTTATTTTATTTATGGAGCAGAAGAAAGCACTTAATTTTCAATGATCAGGATTTTGCACATTAGAAGATCATTTCAAGCAGCTAATAGCTATGGCTGATCCGAGTTTATCAGTTATTTACAACAACAGTCAAGGCATATTTGCAGCTGGCACATTTATTTCAAGGTAGTTAAGTTCAAATACACAGAGCAGCATATCCAAGGCAGCACAGAGCCCACTGCAGCACAGAAAGCTGCATTATTCACTAAGTTTTCGGTCAGGCTCTGCAGCCTGCATCAAGTTCTCTGCTGCTATGGCTACGCATTTATTTGCAGTAGCATTAGCCAAGGTAATGTTATCTGAAATGCATGAATACAAATTCAAGATGCAGCTTTGATTGTAAGTATATATATCTCAAATGTGGCAGAAAGTGTTTTTCTTTACAAGTATTCAAAATGCTGTGAGTAAGGAAAAGGTATAATAAAATGAAAGTGAAAAAAAATGCAGCTTGCTTTTTGTGACTGCAAAGATTGAAAGAAATCTTTCCATTGCAATCAGTAATTGTGTTGTGGACTATACCTCCAGAGGTAACAATAAGGTCTTGTTTCTGTATTCAAATCAAACTTCCATGGTAAGAGATAGTCTTAATTACTATAGCTGTTTGTTCAGGAAATCTATAAACAATAGAATAATTTTCATGTCACGTTTAGCCTGAAGCATTTTAAACACCTCTGTTAAATGAAATCCTTGTCAAGCAATGTCATTCTGTTCCCAATTAAGCAGAAGAAAACCCTTTTCTCATGTTCCCCGGGTTTTTTCATCTCTTATTCATAATAGAACTGTCATCTGAGGTTCATATTAGTGTCTCTGCTACCTTATTTTTGACAATCATAGCTGACAATGAGCTCAGGCTCATCTTAATTCTTGAAATCAACAGCTCAACCACTTAGAGGTCACTATTTTATTTCATCTTTGCTGTATATGACAGCAAACTATGATTGACATTGCAACCGAATTATACCTTTTTTTTTTTTTCCTTAAATCTGCGTATGTTGCTGTCTTTTCCACAACTTGTGTGTAGTGAACATATGGAAATGCCTAACACTGCAGAAACAATGAAAACTGTGAAGATAACTTTTTACCCGGTACATGTTAGTAGTAAAGATGCATTGTTAAGCACTGCCAGATCTTCATGGTAGTTACCCTTATGCTTTGGGTCCCTCACCACAAAAAAGACATTGAGGTGCTGGAGCGGGTCCAGAGAAGGGCAATGAAGCTGGTGAGGGGTCTGGAGAATAAGTCCTATGAGGAGAGGCTGAGGGAGCTGGGGTTGTTCAGCCTAGAGCAGAAGAGGCTGAGGGGAGACCTTATCACTCTCTGCAGCTACCTGAAAGG